GGTATCTATCATTGTAAGCTCACCATTCGTCTGGCTTTGATGCAAAGCTACGGGGACTATTCAGCCAAAAACCCTGAAGGAAGGATTGTGAAGGAGACCCAGCAAGCTCTCTACTCACTTTGATAAACGATAAACATGTAGAATACCATCATTCATCCTATCACTTGGCACCCTGTGGTAAAATAAGTTAGAATAAGACTGGGTTTAAGACTTCATACCCTAACCACAGGAAACCCATGCTGCAATGGAGACTATAACCTGATGTTTTGTCAATTATCGCTAATGAGATTTGACCCCCTGACCTCAACTAGTTTATCTCGTCTCTTATCACTACCTAGTTATCATTATCTAAACCATCCAGTTTTACTGTACATCAGTTAGATAACCTTTGTCTTATCATCTGCCAACATAGATCATGTCAGACTCATCTTAGATCATCATTTACAAACATAGATTTAATTGGCCATTATCTTTCTGGAGGGATTTTTCTCTCATTATCTAAATAAAGAAATGTAAAATCCTTTATTTTGAGATGAAAATATGCCTCTTTAGCAAGCATAATGTTTTCCCATTTCAGACCACGTGTCATTCCCTAGAGTATAATTTCTTTGTTTTACGGTTGTGCATGAGAAGACACTTTTAAAATATGGATACAACTCAAGCAAAAAATCTTATTCTCAAGAGAATGACACGTGGATTGAAATGGGAAAACATTACGCCCAACCTAAAGAGGTCTATTTATTTTCCGTCTTACATTTTTGTGTGAAAAAAAATGAATAAAACGTAAAATGTAAACGTTTTTGTTGTATTTCAGGTAACAGTGTACTGTATGTTTGTGGCCATCATGGCCTTCCACGCACGTATTAGCGACCCTCGAGTAGGAGGTACCTATATGACACTTCTTAACACCATCACCAATCTTGGTGGCAACTGGCCTCCTACCTTAGCCTTGTGGTTGGTTGATGAACTCACTTGGAAGAATTGTTTAGGGTTACCGAATTCTGCTACCATGGAGTGCAACTCTAAGCCATTAGTTGAGGTAACTTTAATAGTTTTCTTTAGTTTGATTTAATTGCTTTTCTTTGGGTGAAAAGATATTAAAGATTGTTGCAAGGTCCCCAAAATACCAAGAAGACTTTATGATTTGTTCGTTTTTTTTTTTTTTTTTT